TAATGCGGTATCCGCTGTGAATAAATCAGCGATTATCGGCCACAATTTGACCAATAATACGCTTATCCGACATGTCTGACGTAAACACTGATCGATTTTATTCGGCCTCCTTCTAATATAAATACACAAATTTTCATTCACCCCTTAAGAGGTGATGAAAACTTGTGTATTGTATTAGGAGGTGGCCGAATAACATACACAAAAATCGTTCGGTGTTCACATAAGACATGTCGGATAAGAAATCATTATCAGCATCTTCGTGACTTAGAAATATGACAATGTTGTTAACTTCTATTTCAATATATATTATTACGGCACCTGGCCTATGCGTTCGACCTTCATTGATTATTCCTTTTAACAAGTTTCGTAAGTGTGATAGAGGACGTCTTGCTGGTATAAATCTTAAATTTTTTTTATACCGTTTTATTTGAGGTGAATCTCATATCATAGATTTCTTAGTTTCATCTACTATCCTGATAATTACTTTGTTCTTTATTACATCTATATAAGTTCCTGCAAAACATTCCTCATCAAATGTTTTCAAAATTCATTTACCGTGCGTAAATACCTCTCAGTATTCAATAATTTAGGTACATCATCTTTATCTACTCCCCATAATTTCGCTAATGGTTTGTTCAAAGCATGAATTATAAAACATCTTTGTAATATGAAAACAAGCAATAAACATTTTATTATAAACATTTCTCATAAATAAATTAGTATGTAAAAAGGCAAAAAGATAATTGTAAAAATAAGTTGTATATATAAGAAACCGTTTCCCGCAGGCGTTCTGATTGATCAATGAAAGATGATCGATGAAATTGATCAGCCCAAAAAGGATCATCTAAAGCCGTGTCCAATCACAAAAAAAAAAAAAAAGTGAAAAACGCAAAAAATACAAGAAATGAATGTCTAAACCTGTCTCGGAGCATTAATAAAAAATGTCTGGAGAATAATTTTACAATAAAAAATGCAACTCCAAACTAACCCTTACCATAATTTTTACCAAATAGTCAAAAACATATGAAAACGGCTTTGGACATTCCCCAGTCAAAGTGAAAGAAAAGAATAGAAACGGCAATCTAAACTCATTAAGAAAAAGTGTCGGAAAGGCAATCTTCCTTATAAAAACTTAATTTATTCCAACCTTAACGCGAACTACCCTAACTCTAAAACTAATTGTCAGATTGGCGATTATCTACAATTATTTTTGGCATGTATTATATTTATATTCATTTTGGTTCTTCTGACTGAGAACAGTACGTACGTACCTTACTAGTGATGCGCCGATGCTATCACTTGAGTGTCGTACGATTGGCGATTATCTACAATGATTTTTGACAAGTATTATATTTTATTATTGTGGGGGCTGATGCTGAAAAATTTTCATATTTTATTATTAAATTGTAACATTTTTTAGGGCCTTTTTTGTGGTCTTTTTTTTCATAGTTAGGTTGGGGTTAGGGAGTAGTATTTATTAATAAAACTAGAGAATGCAGATGTGGGCGGCTTCGCCGCCTGGTTGAGGCTGTTATGTATTATTTCTTAAAAGAAATAATATATAATAGTTAAATAATATCATATTAGTAGGTTTAGATATATTCAAGTGTATATAAATCTACGTTTAAAATATAAATATATAATATATTGTTTTATTTGATATTTAGTTTTTAGTATAAATTTCACATCGTAGACATAAAACTTATGTGTTTAAGGAATTCATTTACTAAGTACTGATGCATTAGAGTAGTATAATTAAATTAGGATGTAGAAATATTTGAGTCAAGTATTAAAGTCTTTGTTTACTGCAGTTAAAGTCAGGCAGAAGTTTGTATGATTGGCTAATAAATTCAATTTAATTTTACATTATTTATACAGTTTAAAGTATTTTTTAAAAAACTGAAAACTAATCATAATGAAATAAGATATAATTATTGTCTGTTTAAAGAAGTTTTTATAGTAACAACTTCTCAAATCTGATAAAATCAACTTATTACTAAGCTGATGGTTTTAAACAGACAAAATTAGATCTTATTTTTAACAATGGAGTTCTACAGCTCTAATGAAACTTTCATAAGCTTTTCTTTAGTTTATCATGGTTAGTTTTTGTTTTTTTGAAAAAAAGGTCTTCTAAGCCATATAAATAATAGGTTGATCTTAATATTGAAACAGGGGTAGTTAAAATTTTTGTTACAATATTTGATGATAACTGATTATTATTTTATTTACTTGACAAAAAAATAAGAAAAAATTTTAAAAAATTAAGAAATATACATTTACAAAGTAAAACAATTATTCAAAAATAATAAATATAGTCAAAATTGTTATATCTAATACTCAGTAATTAATATGCAATTTCTTGTATTTACACATAATATCTATATGAGTGTCATCAAAGGAAAACCTGACAATTTAAAAATAGAACTTTTGTATGACAAAATGCAGGGTTTTAAAAATAGATAACATGTGATTTAAAGAACAATATATTATTCTAGAATTCATTCTAGTTGTTTCGATTATGCATTTTAAACTTTATTTTTTTTTTCTTTTGACTCTATATCATCTTCATTTTGTTTTCATTTTGCATTCCGTTTATTCTGTTCTTTTGCATGAGCCATCTTTAAATTTTTAGCTTTCTCTATTGTATTACTCTGTAGTTTGGGACAAAGCTCATTATGGAAAGCAATCGGGCAGTATGGATAAACTTTCTCCCATAAATCTACTTGTTTTTCATCTGAAAGACCCCTTGAAAGAAGTTCTTAAGGGTTCAAAGTTACAATGTCAAAATTTTTTTTCAATAATTGAAACTTATCTCAAGAATTATTCATTCTTATTTTAGCTCTCATTATACCAGGTTTCTCGTGATTAAACTGGAAAAAATGATATTTTTATATAGCCAGGGGTTTATGATACAATTTGCCAAGTATTGAAGTCTAGTCACGGAATAGTCCTATTTGATTCTCCAAATTTACAGGCATATTGTTACTTGCACTTTTTTCTATTACTTCTGCTAATTGGTTCATACACCAAACTTCTGATCTAGCATACTTCTGTTTTGTAAGGCCAAATCTATGATCGACTGAATTTCTAGTATGACCTTTAATTTGAAAACGATATTCGACTTTTTCGAATATTTGGGCATGACAGGTTCAAAGAAGATACCAAAGAAGACAAGAATTTTTATTCTGTCCACCGCAATTATCTGCCTATAATCGAATTTTTTTTGCATCATTTTGGCAGAAGTAAGAAATAGATGCACAATCGAGGCAACTTCATTTGCTCCTTTAGAAGCTTTTCCTTCTGAATATATTACGTGTTAGTGATTATTAATACCTTCATCTACCAAACCGAATTGGTATACTTTCAATAACAATAAATAGTACCACTTTCTAGGTTGTTGAGAATTATGAAACAATTCTACATCTTGGGCAAAATCGAAGGAGAAAGTGCGAAATCGGGTTTGATCGCACATCTTGGCGGTTCATATATCATCTTCATAAGCATTTCTCATTGCGTGATAATTAGCTATATGTGTTGATAATTGTATATTAAGATCCTCATTAATATTATTACTTTCTTTTAACACCCATTTAAACAAGGTACATTTATCACACACATCTTTAGAAGGTTTTCTAATTGTGATTTTATTAAGTGTAGGATCGCTTCTCTATATTTTTTTAAAAGTATTGCGACTTTTAATCAAATTATTAGAATTCATCAAGTTATATGCAGCCAGAAGATGATCATAAGAATAGTGAAAGGGAAGGAGAACATTATCATGCTTTTCATAGGTTACTATTATCTGTCTATCTGTTTTTTTTCAAGTATACTTTCAAACTGCTAATGTTTCACCATGTTGTTCACCCATCAAATTAATAAAAGATTTTGTTTTATTAACTGTCTCAGTAGACAAGGTGTTCTTGGGTGAGCAACTAGTATTACTATGAGGTCAGGATAATATAGATTTATATTCTTGAATCCAACTATGAAGATTATATAATGCATCTTTACCACATAACCAAAATGTTTTAAAGAAAGAATGACAAACTCTGCCAAAATACAGGAGTAGATAATCCTTGATATAGGTTTGGTTTTTGTGATATTTATTATAAAGAGAAGCTATAAGAATCATCATCAAATAGCATCTTTGATTTTTGTCCAATCGAAGACTTTCTAATACCAAGGATTGTAAAAGGCTTGGTACAACCTTTTCAATACAACTGTTTTTACATGAACAACAGCTTCTAAGTTTATCAATTAAGTTATTTACGGCTATTCGATCATTTTTATCAATTTCTTCACTTATTTTGTTGAACTGATTAATTTCTTCAAACTCTTCTTCCATAGTATCTTTGCATTAGAAATCTTTATTTGATTCAAGAGTAGCAAAGTCAAGAGTATCAATAAAGTATTCTAAATTTTGAACAGCAGTATTGGATGATTCTATTTTCAATCGCAACAATTGGCTTTTATGAGGACAACTCACTTGTGTTTTATATAATTTTTTTAAATTAAAAAATTTGTTGATTATTTTTAAGTGCAATTCCATGACTCAGTATTGGTAATGGAACTCAATGGAGCTCTGAATTAGAGGTGCCAATGATATTTCGACTAATTTGTGAAAACCTAAATCCCAAACAAATCAATATACTATTATACATGATAATTGTCCAGTCTCCTTACTGCAGCGAAAGATATATAAATGATTTTTATTTAAAATGTTTGAAATTTTGGCATTTGGGTTTGATCTGTTTGTCTATTGGGATACTATAGTAACTACTATTTTCAAAATTCACGATACTACTCTGAATGAAGCTAACTGATGCATATCCAATTTAAAAAAACCTCTACATATATAATTTTAATTCCATCCCAACCGCTATATCTGATTTAAAAAAAAAAAAAAAAATTAACACTCCTCTCCTCAAAATATTTATTCTAACTCAACTGCACCTGGTTTACAAAAAATATAAATAAATAAATTGAAATCTATAATTTAAATGCCAACTGCTGTATCTGGTTTGAAAAAATATTGTAAATAATTATACGTTTATTTGTCTAAAATTTAAATGTTTGTTACTTTTATATAATTCAAGGGATTTGTGTTTATCTTAAACAAAAAATGATTTTAAAAATAACTATCCATTTTAAATTGATGAAACAAAATGCTTGTTACCTTCAAAAGATCTGTTTTAGATACTCTATAGTTTTGATACACAAGTGGGTTCAATCTTTAATATTGTCTAAACATTCACCAGGAACATAGAGATCTTACGATTTACTGCAGTCTTAAAGAGTATAAACTTATAGACCTTGTAAAGGCATATTCCTCAAGATCACATCCTCTAGTATTAAGTTCTTTCAAGATTAACAGTTGGGCTTCTGATATACTAATTAGGCTATGCCAAGTTGATTTTCTGTTTAATATAACATGAGATGACATGTAAGAGAGGGTGGGGAATTAAGAAAAAACAATAATATTAGATACAACTTAATGCTGCAATCTTATTGGTTAATTTGATGTGTATTGACTAGAGGTTGGAACCGGTTTTAATAATTCGGGTTTATCACATGAATTTTGTGATATTTTAGAATTTAATCCAATTAAAATTTAATAAATTTTAAAATATCACAAAATTCACATAATAAATCTGAATTATTAAAACCGGTTCCAATCTTTAGTGCACCAAAAAGAATTTACTAATTTATTTAAAGCAGCTATTACTAAATACAAAGACAAAAACGAAATCGCTCTAACAAACAAAGAAACTAGAGACATAATCCAACACAAACTGAGACAAAAATTAATGATAGAATACGTTACAAACCTCAACTTTAGATAACTTCCACCAAGCAAGGCATATCAGATAATCAAATATAGCCAAAACTTTATCTGTGCAAAACCTATCACAGACTACAAACAAATCCAAACAGCAGTTAATTAAGTATATAGCATTCAATGATAACAACTACCTAAAACTCCTGAGGAAATAGACAGTCAAACCAAAAACATATTACCCTTTGAATTACCAATTAAGCAAAGATCTCAAACAAAAGCAATTGTTAACTTTCTCAGAGTAATTTTTAACTTTTCAAGCCTATCAGACACCTACTTTACTACATTACCAAACCTCTCAGACAAACCATCAGAATTAAAAAAAGAACTAAAAATCTATTTTTCTATTACAGATCCAAAACAACTAAAAGAGCTACGATTCTATAAAAAAAAACTCATCGACTACTACAGCTTTACTAAAATACCTGCAACATACTTTGCTCTACTACCAGAATGAGAACCTCTACCATTAACTTACCACGAATTAAATAGTGGAGTTAGACACCTCTTCTCCATCAACCCATCTCTAGAAGAAACAAATATTAGAGATATAGTAGAAGCACTCAGAAAATACTACAAGTTCAGAAGCATACCAAATGACTTCTTCGTACAAAAACTTGTATTACCACAGAACCAAGCAAAATTAAACTACACACCAAATTTACTTATCCGATTACTGATGACAAAATAGCACAAGAATTCTTTAAAAAGGCAAAGACAAAATATAAGATAATCTTCCCTATAAACAAGGCAATCTTGATAGCCAACCCTACAAACAAACCAAGACTACCTTTAGACCCAACAGAGATCAAGACATTCAATATCACAGTACCTATTACATCATCTAGAATATTAGTAGAAACAGCTAAACTCCTTAGAGAAGAATACTACTTTGAACACATCCTATTAGAATAGATCAATATACCTATCACACCTAACAAAATTCACAAGATCAAAACTAACAAAAAACCAATGATACCAAAAAACCTAATTGAACTACAAGAAGCACTTGAAAAAATTACTGATGAAATCTACATCAACGTACCTATTAAACAACAGGTTATACTATAGAATCCTGATATTCAAAATCCCAACATACAAAATCCCAACAAACAAAATCCTGACATCAAAATTTCGACACTGCCAAAATACTTATAGTAGCGCTATTAAGATTTTGGCAGTGTTGGGATTTGTTGTCGGGATTTTGTTTGTCGAGATTTTGTATGTCAGGATTTTAAATATCGGGATTCTGTAGTATAACCTAAACAACAAAAGGAAATTAACTCCACGATATCAATACTTCGACAGCACTTCGAAATACCACAAATCCCAGACTACATACTAGAACTTCCTCCTCTTCCAAAACCAACTTGGGACATCTTCATCTAATCATGTCAAGCTCAAAAAACTATAACAAAAATGAACATACAACTAACATACACAACACAAACAATCACATACAAACAGACACTATTAATTTAGCTTTATACAATATACGTGGACTCAATGACGACATCAAAAGACAACTATGGCTCGACTACTGCAAAAAGAAAAACATAGATATAATAAGCATAACAGAAACTAAATTCGCAGAGTCAAAATATATAAACCTACAACTATATAATGAGGCATATTATTTTTATACATCAAATACCACAGCAACAACAGCCAAAAAACAAGAATCAAATATGGGAGTTGCAATAGCACTACACAAGAAATTACAACCATATATACATAATATACAAACCTATCCAGAAACAGCACTCAGCATTGATATATTCTTATCACACAAAAACCAATTTCATATAATAGCAACATACCTACTCTGCAATAACAAATAACTCAACAACTTAACCCAATCCAAAATAATAGAATGAGCAGAACAAGCAAATAAACAAAAGATCAAACCGATCATC